TTATCATTGATTTCCTCTGCTTTCAACTAAGGCTCTTCTGCAATTATTACCATCAAATACTCGTTGGGAAAATTATCATTGATTTCCTCCGCCTTCAATTCTTCAAGCTTAGGGTTTTTAATATTGAGAGGTGATCGACCGCCATGTTTTCCAATCCTTTTTTGTCCTTTATCTCGATGTTAATTTATTGTAGTAAAAGCACCCATCGAATCAACCTTTGTTTTGCATCCTGTTTATTAAACAAAAATTTTAAAGTATAATGGTCAGTGAACACAATAGTTTTTGACATAATTAAATAAGGATGAAATTTATCAAAATTGTAATAAACAACTAATAATTCCTTCTCAGTTTGCGTGTAATTCTCTTGAGTTGGGTTAGGCGTTTTGCTATAATCAAAGATTTGTCAAAAACGGTTTCCAACCCTTTGTCCTAAAATGGCTCCCAAAGCATAATCATTAGCAACATATATTAACTCAAATGGTAGATTCTAATTCAGGGCAAGCATAATCAAGGCGGTGGTCAACATTTCTTTTAAAGCTTCAAAAGTGTTCAAACAATCATTAGCAAATCAAAGTTAGCATATTTTAAATGCAATCAAAATAAAGGTCTTGTAATTTTTGAAAAACCTTTAATAAATTGACATTAAAATCTCGCATTACCCAAAAAAATTCTACACCCCTTATGTTTTTTGGAGGTGGTAATTTAGAAAATAGATAATTTTTTGCCAAATCCACCTCTATCACTGCTTTGGAAACCTTGTGTCCTAATACTATTGCCTCTTTAACCATAAAGTGACACTTTTCCCAATAGAAGACTGATAGATGTTATTTTATGCATCTTTTAGGATAGTTTTTATTAACATTTTGCATCAGATTTTATGTATACTTCCTGTGTATTAGCTTAAATATTGTCCATCTTATGTATTTCATCAAAATTCCTGTACTGTTAGGGTTTATATGTCGTTTTTAGATAAATCGGGTAGAGTAGTACTTCAGAGCAATTTTAGATGCATTAAATGGAGCACTAGAATCTAATTGGAGCTTGGAACTTATGAAGGATATTGCTAGCAGCTTGAACCCTTGTAAGTATTTTGACCATACCTCATGATACATAAATCCGATTAACAAGATTCAAGATGTTCCGAAAACTAGAAAAAATTTCGAATGACTTTATTGTTTTTGAAAAAGTAGAAACACAAAAAATTTTATCGAATTTTCCTCAAAATTTTGATCATGTAAATAGTTCATTGTTTAGAATTCTTCAGAAATCAGTTTATGCCAAAATTTGATCAAAGTGTGAAAAATCCAATCATGGTTTATAAAAATTCAATCAAATTTATTTTTTTTCTTGCTTTGGAAGTAACTGTCTTGCATATAAATTCAACCTCTTTTATCAGAGGAGATGAGAGACGTTCCCATATGACGAAAAACGCTTTTGAAGGAGATTTCTGCTACTTTTCATCAATTTCTGAAGATCTAAAGGTTGTGGATCATCTCATAGATTTAGTTTAGTAAAATTACTAGTTTAATGTTTCTATTTTATTTTATTCTAGATCTGATTTAGCCATTTCTACCTAAAACCCTAGTTTTCAGTTTTGCAAAAGACTAGTACTTTTCATGTGATCAATTATCATATTTATTTTTCATTGTGTGATTCTATTTAATAATTTCAGTTTTGTGATTAATGAATGTTTGATTTTAATTCTTGTTAGTCTTATTAAATACCTAGGGTTTAATCATTCTAGTTAATCTCTATTTGAAATCTATAATTTTTTTGCCAAACTGGTTATAAGTAAAAAGTAATAAATCAGTTCTATGTTTGGATTTAACTTTATTATATACTGAAATTCCATATTTTATGCTTCTAAGCTTGTAAGAAGTATTGGATATTTCTATGAATTTACACAAATCTTAGTGCAGCTTTTGTAAATTTTATTTAAGATCTTGTTTAATTAGGTCAGTAAAAAATTAGGATTAACTGAAGAGCTTCTTTTAGTTAACTAATTAGGTAAAAGAGAATTTACTAGAGCTTGTTAGTTTTTCTCAGTACTTTCTTGAAGAGAGAACATTTTGAATAACTAGAGATGGATTAATTGACTGATTAGGAGAGTCGCAACAGAGCTGAAATCGCTTTTTATTATTGAATTTTCTTTAGTTAATTTCACTGCTAAAATAGTTTTAATTAGTAATGAAGATCGCCCTTTATATTTACTGTTATTGACTAGCATATGACTTCTGCAAAAAGCCATTTACTGTTTGGCCATGTCCATATGGATTCGATCTTGCTTCCATGTGCTAAACTTTAGTGCATTTGAGCAGTGAAATATAGTTTGCTTAAATCATGCGCGACAATGGTTTAACAAATTGGTGCCATTGTTGGGGATACGATGTTGCTAATAGTCAGTAAGACAAGTAATTTTTTATAGGTACAACTTTAATCTTTGACCCAGAAATTGAGAAAACTGCAAGGAAACGGAAGAAGATAATTAAACTTCATAAGTAATGAGTGGGTTCCTTAAATCCATCAGCCTCCTAACCACTTGAAATCACCATAGCACAAGGCACTCCCTTGTGGAACGAACCATAAATTAGCATCCCGTCCTTACGAAAAGCACCCCATCCTCACCTTTCCAAAGCACGGTTAAAAGATACTCTCCACCACCTTATGAAAAATCCAAAACCATAGACTCTTCCGAAACCAAATCCGAAAAATCATCCATGGGAGACGCAGAATACGAAGAGAAAACTCACATAGAACAGGCAACCCAAGAGGTTAATTAATAGCCTCTCTGCATCACTTTTCCTGAAGCTAGAACTCCGAACTCAAATATGGGGTGATACATCTTCTTCCCACCTTTATAATCTTAGAAAACGAAGACCCACATAAAATCCTTAAGGAATTTCATGTGGTACGTTCAAGTATGAAGGCGCATGCTATAATAGAAGATCAGATAAATCTAAGGGAAATCCCATTTTCACTTCAAGACTCAGCGAGAGAATGGTTGTACAAGCTTCCAACCAGATCGATCATCATATGAACTGAACTCTCAAAATTATTCTTAGAAAAATATTTTCCATAAAATTAAGTTTCGAGCCTTCTCCATGCGATCGTTGGTATCAAACAAGGAAGAAGAGAAGCTTTACACATATACCGGCAACACTTCAAAGACCTACTTGTCATGTGCGCATAACATTGGAAAATTGATTATTTGTTGTATAATTATTTATGAGAAGGGCTGACACCTCATGTTCTAAGCGGTGGATCTTTTCGGGACATTACACTAGCAGAAATCTAGGAGCTAATAGAAAAGATGACTATTGACTCAAAATAATCCAAGAACAAAGACGAGTAGAATGTTGATCAACCAAGAGGAGTCAAAGAAGTCAACCTAAAATTCCAAAACGAGCAAAAGCGATGTTGTTGCTGACAAAGGAAAAAGCACCTACAAAAAATAGTATGGAATATACTTTAAGACAGAAAATCTTACTGACATGTGTCCATTATTTCCAGAGGATGTACCTGCAGTAAAAGCTGTCGGAGGCAATCAACAAAATTTTCAGAACAATTTTCAGCAACGACAACAATATCAGCAGCCATTCAGATTCCACCTGCAACGAAATTTTCAACAGTCGGGTTTTTAGTAGAATTTTCAGAATTAGAGTTTTTATTAGTGTCCTTCAAATTAGCAATCTAGCAGCTCCAACATGACATTAAGAGACAAAGTAAAAATCCTAGCTACCGGAACCCACACATTCCAAAACGAAACTAGAGCAAGCATTAACAATCTGGAACAACAAGTGTCTCAACT